AGATACTAACTATAAACTCTTATTACTGGATATAATATATATCTACCTAACTTTTTATATCTTATTACTTAAAAAAGTACTAAAGGATATACCAGATTAAGATTATCTAATTAAAATCTATAAAGAAAAATTTAAACTAGAAAAAATTCTAAAAAAGAAAGTTAGAAATAAGTAAATCTTTTACTTAGTAAAATAGAAAGAATATACTAATAATAATAATACTTAGGAACCTATTAAGTATTTAAAGGATTATTAGAAGCTTATTTAGTAATATTACCAGGACTAGAAATATCTATCCTAATAAACTAAGAAGGAGATAGTTCTATACCCTTCTAAAGAAATACCGGATTAATCTTAATCTCTGAGAATACAGGCTCAGATAAAGATATAGCCAGAGATAAGATCTGTTTTTAGGCTACCTCCTCTACCTTCTTTTACTTAATATACTCTAGTTTCTCTATACTATTAATACTATAAGATACCACCCGTATTATCTTATCTAATTATAATTTCTTTTATTAATAAAAATATTAGATTTTTATATCTATATAATAATACTCCTCCTCTATAGCCTCTAGTTCGGACTCTAGTTTACTATACTGATCGGTAATATATCTCAGCTGATCTGGTATAAGGCCCTGAGTATTATAATACAGCTGATTATTTTTAATATAGTAAAAATAATAAGATAAAGAACCCTCTAATCCGAAGTATTTATAACTATAGGATTTATAATAGCTATACTCTAACTATATTACTAAAGGATTTAGTAAGATAGTATTAATAAGAGTATTATACTAAAGGGTCTTCTTATAAGAAGTTTTCTATATATAATTAGATATTATTATAGACTATAAGGAGAATACAGGATTAAATTAGAAAAGACTTACTAATAGGCTACAGAATATAATCTTAAGGATATAACTAATAGAGAGAGGACCTTATATTATAAATTATATTATTATATATTAAAGTTATATAGATTACCCTACTTTTTTCTAACTAATTACTAGTAGATTATCAGGATCTTATAATAATTCTAATAATCTAGGATAATAGATTATTACTAAGCCTTAATAATCCTCTAGTATATATATATATTTACTTTATTAGATAGAATACTCTCTCAGACAGTTATTAATATAATTATCTATATATCTATTATTACTAGCTTTATAATACTCATATATTAATAGTAACTCGTATTATACAGCCTAAGATAACCTGATCGTACTACTCAGAATAATACTCTAATTAGTTCAACCCCGACCTACCCTAGACCCCGCCCAGTATAAGTTATCCAACCGTTATACTCTATTAATAAGATTATAAGTAGCCTACTGAAATATTAATTCCTATAGCTTACTTATTTATTTTCTTTAATAAAGGGAAGATTATTCCTATACCCTATAAGAAAAATACCAGCTAACTATACTATAAAGGAGTATAATAATAGTACTACTATCTAGATACCTAGAGTAATTTTTATAATTAAGGTATTCTTCTATAGTATTTATCTATACTTATTTATAACTAGCTCTATATCAAGGGATAAGCTATTAATATCTATAAGCAATATATAATAGTTAAGAAATATTAAGGGCGAATAATATACTAAAAGCTCGTATAAGCCTTAGATATTAGGCCTAATACTAAATAGGAAGGGGAATTAAATACGAGGAGCAGAAAATAGATACAGGGTTACTGGCAACCTATACAGGGAGTAAAAATAGATACAAGGTGCAGAAAATGGATGCATAGGGCAGAAAATGGACACGAGGTTGCTGGCGATCTATACAGGGATAAAACGCAAAGTAGAAAATAGATCCTTGAAGGCTTCGATAGACAGCCAGTTATACGTCTGAAGGCTGTAGCACCAAGGCCTATATTATCCGTATCTATATAGCTTCCAGCTTACTTATGGTATTAATAGGGTCAGTCCTTGACCTGTAGCCCGGATAATAGTTTAGTCCATAAGTACATATATATAATAATATTGAAAATTATATACCTTAGGCCTGAATAAAGGTATACTGTATTTAATATACCTAAAACTTAGCTTTGATTTAAAATCTTAGCACCTTGGCCTATAGTTTAGCTGTACTACTAAGAATTAGGACTTAACTCAAGCCCTGCCGAGCCCAGTTTTAGAATATAATTAACTATTATACTAATACCTCTAACCTATATAATAAGTACCAGCGATTAAATACAATTAAATACAGCTATTTACAATTAAATATAATTAAATATAACTAACTGTAACTAAGGGTAACTAAATACAACTAAATATTAGGGTATAGTAGTAGGTACAGAGTATATTCTACTATATGCTTATATTATCTAAATATTGCTTCTCTAATTTCCGCCTTATATCCGCTGCAATATACCTTATATCCTGCTATAATAATGGGGAAAGAGGGCTATACAGTAAGCTCGCATAAACGCTTGGTAAATTATCCACGCTCCAGTATAGCAACTAATTGTAGGCATACCCTCGTAGTATTACAGGACTATGGAAGGAGGTTGTAGCCTTCTCTATCTCCTTGAAGATATCCACGCCCTACGGTATGCCTAGCACTGCTGTATCTTGGGCACCAGCGCCATACCAAGCATATATGCCTTTAAGTCTAATAGAAGCTAAATAGCAAGCTCTAGGTACAGTTTGGAGCATAACTAGCTTCCTCTTTATAAACATATGCTGATTGTAAACCAGTTCCCCACACAGTGTCAATCTTCCACAAAATGCATTATATACAAAGTCAACATATTTCGCGACTTGGAACTCAAGCAGTTCTTTGTTCCTATTTTCTGGACTTAGCCCAGAAATAGGCACACCACCCATGTCATAGTGTCGCAGCCATTTTACACTTCATTTGGAATGGCACCAAGGTTATCCCGCGTTCAACGTAAGACACTTCAGGATATCATTATACAGTTTCGAGCATAACCAGCTTCCTCTTTATCAACATATCTTGAATATAAACTGATTCTCCACACAGTGTCATTTATGCAAAGATGCACTGGATACATGATTGATATGACATGAAACCTGAAACTAAAGTATCTAGTTCAGCGATTTTTGGATGTCTTATAGCTGTACACAGTGCGAACATCCCTTACCCGCGAACAAAAGTAGCTGAATATTCTCGGCTCCAAAAGGGCTAATCCTTGACGCCATCCTGCGACTTGGTCGGTACCCAACGACGCAACCCGTAGCATCATGCAGCTATCGTAACTCCAAGTATCTCATAAACCGCCTTAATGAACGCTACCGGGGAAGGATGCTCTTCACTTAGCATCCTGTTCATGGCATACGCGAGTGTGAGCCTCCTATCACTATCCACAACCACGATCGAACCGCCCCATCCGCTACCCCATCCAACACTGCCCTCCGGTAGCTTGCCTTCGACGATCCCAGACCCAGGTCCGGTGAGGTATATCCCGAGTCCGCGCCTCCCGCTCCGCCCTGTCACCACATCCGTCCCAATCGCATGCTCCGTAAGCGCCAGTTTCACCGTCTCGGCCGACAGCAGGCGATAGCCGCCTCCCGCACATGTGCCGCTGAGCGAGAAGCAGGAGAGGATCTTGACTAATGCCCTGGCGTTTGTGTGGCCGTTGACCGAGCCTAACGCGCAGGACCGCCAGAGCGCAGTGTTGGCATCCTCGGCCTTGAGCGAAGGGTTACACAACGTGCGCACGACGATCGAGTCTTGCTCAAACCCCGCCTTGTTAAGCGCCTCCTGGATCGAGGGCCCCGGTGGAGGCACGACGGGGGCCACTCGGTTCCAGTCTTCCTTGCGACACCCAAGCTGGAAGTCCGTCCCGTCGCCCAGCGGCCGGCAAATCTCTTCCGTTACGAACTTGTCGATGGACATCCCTGTCTTCCTCCGCACCAGCTCCCCGATAAGGAATCCCTGCGTTATACCGTGGTATCCCATTGCGGTTCCAGGAGCCCATAGCGTTGCCTGGTTCGCCAGCTTGTCGGTTGCCGCCTCGATGTCGCATACGTCCTCCAGCATCATGTTATCCTGCCACGCGCAGATACCCGCTGTGTGGGTTAACACTTGGCTGACCGTGACCTCGGACTTCCCGTTCGCCGCAAACTCAGGCCAGTGCTGGGCTACCTTGTCATCGGGGTGCAGCACACCACGCGAGATGAGCAACAGAGCCGCCAGGTTGGTGACTAGTTTTGAGGTCGAGAAGACGTTGACCACTGTATCCCTTTCCCACGGTTTCTTGGTCGATACGTCGGCGTAGCCCCCCCATAAGTCCACCACATTGTCGCCGTTGATATTAATGCACAGACTCGCCCCAATGTCTTGTCCAGACGCGATAAATTCTTGCATCAAGTCGCGGAGCTTGGAAAAACGGGCGTCGCAGTGGCCTTGGACCTGAGCCATCCTGATAGATATTATTTGTGGTAGCAATTGGCGAATAGAAGCAACAAGCTTTAATTCAGACGCAGGAAAGATGCAATTTCGCTAGCTTTAAGTAAGGGAGGTTTTGGGGCATGGCACCTTTAATACGAGATCACGACTTTATTAATGACTAATTGGATAGGCATCTCTGGACCCATAAATACATCCTTGCATAGCGGTAAAGCTGACTCTCTTAACACGAGGCTACTCTATCCGGATATACTTACAGAAATAAGGTCGAAGTTAGAGGCTAACTCTTAATAGCGCAGGCTAAATGATTCTACGTTGGTGAGCATATGTGTAGAACACACTCTATATGCCTAAAGGGATGTGAAACACGGTACAAGCCATGTGTAGATGGAGTGGTCCGTGACTAAAGTTAACTTTCTGCACAAAACCAGGCGGACACTCCTTTCGACCCATCCTGTACTTAATAGGAGGCAAACTAGCCCCCCTGCAGGCACATAAGCACAACGATTGGGATATACTTTATCATTCATCTAAGGTATCAAGAGTTCGCACTAACACTGTAAGCATCATTGTCCTTAGCTCAGTACTTAAGATACTTTAGGAAACTTATTTATAGGCCATTAATAGATATTTTCCCATACTAAAGAATCGTGGTGAATATACACTAAAGTATTTTTAGGTACTCCCTATACTAAATAAGAAACATAAAGACAACAGACCGGAAGCTGGTTATGCTCCAAACTATATTAGGCAGAGACTGGTTCGCGAACTTTATGGATAACTAAGAGGTACATGGACTAACGCCCAATCTAAATTCGGGTTATCTATAATCCGTTTCTTGGTCGCTGAGCAGATGATGTAATCAATTTGCTAGCCTGGCAACCTGAGGTCGGATGTACCTAATCACTCGCCAGAGGTATTGAAATCTCACGCTAACACTGTAGACACAATTGTTCCCACTTCAGTACTTAGTCTACTTTGAGAGACTTCCTTGCTGGCTATTAACGGACATTTCCCATACTGTAAAATAGTAGAAGATGTACACTAAGGTATTTTTAGGTACTCTCTCTTCTCAAAATAAATACAAAGACAACAGAGCGGAAGCTGGTTATACTCCAAACTGTACTAGTAGAGGGAAAACTATAATACTTAGCTTTTTCAGTACTAGTACTAAATAATACTATATAAAAGGGTACTAGGATCAGGAAATCACTGTTTAGCTTATACCAGTACCAGAGGTATATTTTTTACAGGGTATTAGTATCTAGACACCACGGTCTGGCGTGGACCAGTACTTGGAACATTGCAATTTTCCAAGCACTAGGTTTACTGGATATTAATAGGTCTAGTAGGCCAACCTACACAATAGGCCAACCTACCTAATAGGCTAACCTACACCTACTAATATCAAAAAGAACCAAGAGCTATAAGAGGTTAATACTAGTACCCAGGCATCTGGATATAGGTATAGCTCCTAGAGTCTAGTTTATACTGGTCAAAGAAAGACAGCTAACAGGAGACCGGTCCCCCTTTAGGAACCGCTAACGCCTTTTTAGAACAAGTTAAGAGCCAAGTTATTATTATATAGTATAATATTAGGAGAATTAGATTCGTTTATTATCAAATTATTTCTATCTATAGAGTTTAGATCAACAGCACTCCTCGCAAGCAGCAGCTTCACTACTGCAGACCCATTCCCTGCACTATATAACAGCGGTATCCAGCTATATAGACCCATAAGAGTCCTTAAAGTCTAGATCAATAGCCCCCCTTTTAAGAAGTAGCTATATTACTACTTTCTTTCTGTTCGCCACAGCCTATAACAATAGTATCTAACTATATTTATCCCTGGAATTTAGGTCAACAGCATCCTCTGCGAGTAGCAGTTTTATAACTTTCCTATACCTATTCTCTACTGCAATTAATAATAGTATCTGACCATACTTATCCTTAGAGTCCGGTACTACGCCAGCTGTTATAAGTATTAACTCCGCTACAGTACCATATCCCTTCCGTGCTATATAAAATAGAGGTATTCGCCGGAAGTTATCTATAGAATCGGGGTTAATATCCTCTCTAGCTAATAACAGCTTTATAATTCCTTTATAGCTATTCATTATAGCTCGTAATAGTAGTATATAATAATTATAGAGCCTTCCGTTAGAGCCTGTATTAAGATTATCCTTTACAAGTAATAACTCTACTACTGAACTATGCCTGTTTTCTACAGCTAGTAATAATAGAGTCCAACTATCAGCAGTTATATATTAGATATCAGCTCCTTTCTCTAATAATATTCAAGCTACAGCTACTTCCCTGTATTCTGAGCCCTATAAAAGTACTAATCCTCCTGACTGCTTAATATTATAAAAATAGAGATAAGTACATAGCAAATAGTAAAGGTAATAATTCAATCGAGCTAAGCTATTAATATCTCTCTCTAATTCCAGATTCTCTACTATATAGAGAAGCACTTCGTTTAGTAGACTAACAAATAATATATCTCTCTTAAAAACTATAGGAAGATTATATAGAAGACAGGGATATCTGAGGGAGGGCTTACCTTTAACTTATCATAAGCTATCAGCTCCAAGCTGCCGTATTAGAATACTCGTAGCGGACTATAATATCAGTTTCACATATCAGCAAGCGCCGATAGATCATAACATAAGTTAAATAACCCCTCTACAATCAATAAGAGGATATAGGGGGGGGAGTAGTAAATACATTATAACCATATATACTTAATCTCCCTAAGGGAAACTATATATATTTACTTTTATATATATTAAACCGTTAGCATTTACCGGCCCCGCCTCAGTACAGCACTATATATCCTACAATAGAATCCCAGACAAAAGGATATTCCAAGGCGAGTAAGTATATATCTATATTCTCCAATAAAGCGCTAAATACCTAACGATTCGCAAGGCCAGACGCCTAGCAATAGGGCAGAGAGTCTCCGAGAAATTTATAGAAGGATACCACATCAAGATCTCCTTAACTATCAGTTGGATATATATATATACGTACTTCACCCAAGCACCCTCCTAATTATCTCTCGGTCTCATTCTGGTATAGTATTAATTATAATAGGAAAGAAGGTATTTCGATTCTGGTAACTTTGCCCTTTCGCAAGCCCAGAGGGGTTCCGATATTAGAAAAATCAAGACTAGGACCCAACACCCACGCCGGGAGAGTATATCTTATCCAAGAGCTCCCATACCAGGCTCTAGTAATATCGATGAGAGCGCAAACAAGGGTCTGCAAGACCAGGAGAAAAGTAGCGAGCCACAGAATCAGAGCCACCTCCACGAAATAGCGCGCTCGGGGAATGGGAAGTCGTAGTGTTGGATGTGTGACATCAGTAAATCTATTTTAGCAGATAATCAAGATCTACAGAGGCGCCGGGTGGCCGTCCAAGGGAATAGGACGAAGCGGCTGCCGGCTGCTATGGCGCAAACCGTGGCGCAAACCGTGGCGCAAACCACGGCGCAGACGATTGAACGAAGGAGGGCGCGGAAGAAAGAACCTTTTCGTTCCTCAAAGGCATACAGACACAGGAGACCGGTTCCCCTTCAGGGACCGCCAATACCTTTTCAGAACAAGTTAAGAGCTTAGGAAGCAAGGCACTTACCTCGCAAAAGAATAAGCCTAACACAAGTACATATCTTATAAAGCCCGAGATCTGGGTACATATCGCATAACTACCTTAGGGCTATAAGCTATAGCTGGCCTTCCGTTTATCTAACGGGAAAGGACAACTGAAGCTCGAACGTAACGAGCTATACACTCTTCTATTGAAAAAACAATCATACACTACCTATCACAACAGAACATACTCAGGGAGATATATCCTGATACTATAAAGAATTAGGCGCATTTCACCTAGATAAAAGACACCACAGCCCCTCCATATACTTGTTAGAAGGAAATATACTTCTACCCTCTACACCAGCCAGGAATTTAAGAGCAGAAGGGGATAATATAGTATATACTTACTAGTACCGCAGTATATTAATATAATTAGTAAGGTTAACTACACCCAACTATCAGTATCATTTTAGTTACTATTATCTTCAAGACCTACTACCTCAGGCCGCTATTAGCATTAGTATAGCAGTATAGATACTTATATAGAGCCTTTCCCTCTTCAACTCAGGTATCTCAGCCTTACCTTCCTTTAACCCTTTATATACTGTACAATTTGGAGTTCTCTATTTTCCACTCCTATCCCAACTAGTATTTAAGGTTTCTTGAACAGTATCCTTCTAGTACTTATTCTATCCCTGTAGTTAATCCCCCAGCTTGCCAACGCTGTATACAACCTTCTCGATGTAATTACGGTCCCTCCAAAGCTTATCGATCTGTTCACACTGACCTAATTTCTGTCTCGGCGTTATTAATACGGTTGATTTGATACCCGCCGATAAGCTGCGGATATTATTTATATCTGGTACCGAGTTTGCAGTTACCCCTCCCTTAACTAAGAAACTATCCGGTAGTCTCTTAAAGGATAGGGTATAAGGATCGTAAATGATACTATCAGCTATAATCGGATATAAGATAGTATTAGGGGGTATTTTCTGAAAGTCCGGCGCGGTAGATATACAGATTATAGAACTGATAGGAATATTAGTATAGTTCTGAGTCTGAATCTCCCTAGTAATTAACTTATTAAAGAGATCTTATATACAGTTAATATAGTTTTAGGAGGTAGTTATATCCTCCCCCCAGAGGCCTATAGCGGAGCCCTGATCAGCCCCCCTATAAAGGAAAAAGTAATTAGTAGTATATTAACTAATATAATTATTAAAATTATCCCCTAGGCTTAAGCACCCTCTGAAAGTAAAGTAATCTATATACTGATACTCGATTGGTATATTCGTAGAATCTTAGTTTACTAATAAGTTTTCCGATAGGGATAAGTTACTATCCTAATTATATATATATTAAGGCATCCTCGGTTGTGTAGAGATATTGGTTTTGCCTGGATACTTTTTATCTTTCCCAGCGTTTGCCCAAAATATTTGATTATTATACCTCTTATCAGGAGGCTTATCTACACCTGGGGCTGGAGTATAGTTAAGTTTTATATTAGGCATAGCTAATAGGGCAGCGGATAAAAATAAGAATATTTAAAGGTTAGAAGTAATAAGGAATAGTAGGCAAATTAGAATATCAAGCAGTGGATAATACAGGGCTTACAGCGTTCCTGGTGTGTACTCTGCCTAAAAATTGGTATAGCCTCTGCCGCCTAATATATATAGAGGGAGTGTTAGTTACCGCGGAAATTCCTGATTCAAATGTAAACATTTAATTGATTGCTAGTCCAACATAGTAGATCCCATATACTATAACGAGAGAATGACTGATGTGCATAAAGTCAAACACGTCAATTAGCAACCTTGGTATACGATCAGCTCTGAATAAGGCTGATGCGCGGGGTGTTCTGTATTTCTTGTGATATAATATTGCAGTGCTTAGTCAAGTTGTGGCGAGTCTATATATAATAAGAAACTTGTGGTGCACAGGAGACCGGTCCCCTACGGGGTCCGCCAATGCCTTTTCGGAACGAGTTGAGAGCTTGAGAAGTTAAGGCATAAGGCACTTGGCACTGGCTCTACGGGCGACGGGGAGACTTGTGGCGGGTGATTACAGGGGTTGGCGGCTGGGTGTGACTTGGTTCAGCCCTTGTCGCAGTGGCACGGGGCCGACGAAACTCTGCACGAAGAAGAACCAGGGGTTGACCAATGGTACGACTACTACTACGTTCTGTGGGTGGGGTGGACTGAGGGTGTAGCTTATTGCAAAGGGCTGTGTAGAGTTCGTACCCATATCTGGGAGAAGCATAGGGGAGAGCCCTTCGTTTTGATGCTTGGCTAAAGGTCCTTATAGCTGCCGAGAGTTCGCTTTAGAAGACTTAAAGTTGAGCACCCGAGTTTGTAGGAACAAGGCTCGCTGTCTATACTCTTAAAGTTGAGCACCCGAGTTTGTAGGAACAAGGCTCGCTGTCTATACTTGGGTTGTAGAGGATTGAATTCTATCGATTATCAATCTACCAATAAGAATTTCTATAGAAGGAACCAGGATTTATAATAATATGTAGATTTGCCGAGCAAAGTTGCAAGCATATATACGTAATAATTACGGGAGGATTTAAATACTCTACGGCGGTAGCTATTTTCGTTTTCCTATCTGGTCCTAAAAGAGGGACCCCCAATGTCCTATTTTTAAGAATTCAGGGTTTATAGGACAAAAAGATTCCCACTTTGAATCCTTGAAGCAATTTATTCAGCCAATATTTATGCTGGGTGCGCACTGCCCTTCAAGATTTCTGCGGAGGCGTTTTGCTGGAGGTGGCCGCTTTTGGCTCCTTACGGTTCCAAAAGAGGGACTCGAAAACTCGCCAAATTTTTTCCAGCAAACCAATCAACCCTTCTTACACACAAACCCACCCCTCTCTCTCCATCACGAGAAAGTCCTACACAATGTTTACCGCGCGCCTAGAAATACCAAATAAGATAACCGAGAGAGAATTGCGGTAAGCCGTTGCTGATAAGTGGTTGGCTACGCGCCATCCTGATTATGCCGAAATCCGATTCATGAACCCGATGAAGTTCCCCAATCCACGGCATTCATTTGAACCGAATCCGGCGAATGCTCACAGAGGTGATCAAGAGGGGTGCTACGTTTGATCTCAAGATGCAGTGGCTCATTACTGCTACTCGCTAGAGGATGAGAGCAGCTTTGGTGAGGACTGGAAATGCGAATACCGCCCAACGCAAGAAGGCGAAGGTTTGGGGATCTAAGGCATTTCAAGGCAATTGCTCTAATTCAAATATATTACCATTGCGATCAATGACTCATTCCTGCCATCCAGCCAAAGTTATTGAGGAAGATACCGTGTCCGGATGGTCTGAACCCAACACTCGGTCTCGCGCAACAAAGCAATGCTGCATCAAAGCTAGAGCATCTTGGGAACGGCCTTGGTCATTCCATACAAAGGCCAGGTTATTCATACTGGTCAGTGTATGGGGATGCTCCTCTCCTAGGACCGTCTTTCTTGTCTCTATTACTTGCATCCCTAACTCTTCAGCTTCCTTCCATCGGCCTTGCTTCCAATATATTATCGCTAGATCGGCTATACTGGTCAGTGTATGGGGATGCTCCTCTCCTAGAACTGCCGAACTTGTCTTAACCGCTTGTACCCCTAACTCTTCTGCCTCTTTACATCGGTCTTGCTCCCAATATGTTGATGCCAGATCACCTATACTGCTTAGCGTATTAGGATGCTCCTCTCCAAGAACCGCCGAACTTGTCTTAACTGCTTGTACCCCTAACTCTTCTGCTTTCTGGTATTGGCCTTGCTTCCTATATGTCCACGCCAGATTAACCATACTGCTTAGCGTATTAGGATGCTTCTCTCCAAGAACCGCCAAACTTATCTCCATCACTTGTACCTCTAACTCTTCCGCCTCCTTCCATCGGCCTTGATTCGAATATATTGATGCCAGGGTGGCTATACTGGTCAGCGTATTGGGGTGCTTCTCTCCTAGAACCGCCGAACTTATCTCCATCGCTTGCACCCCTAACTCTTCCGCTTCCTTCCATTTGCCTTGGGCCGTATACGCTGATACCAGGTTATTCATACTGATCAGAGTATCGGGGTGCTCCTCTCCTAGAACTGCCTTTCTTGTCTCCAGCAATTGCATCTCTAGCTCTTTTGCCTCCTTCCATCGGGCTTGCTTCGAATATGTTGATGCCAGGATACCTATACTAATCAGAGTATCGGGATGCTCCTCTCCTAGAATTACCGTTCTTAGCTCCGTCACTCGCACCCCTAACTCTTCAGCTTCCTTCCATCGGCCTTGATGCCAATATATTAACGCCAGGTTACTTATACTGGTTAGAGTATCGGGATGCTCCTCTCGTAGAACTGCCTTTCTTGTCTTCATCACTCTGACCCCTAACTCTTCCGCTTCTTTCAATCGGCCTTGATGTGTATATGTTAACGCCAGGTTACTCATACTGGTCAGGGTATCGGAATGCTCTTCTCCGAAAATAATTGCCCTCCTTTCTGTGGCCTTTTCGTTTAAGTCCTCTGCTGCTATGTAGTTGCCTGTAACAAGCAAATACCATGCACATTTTGTCAGCAAATGAGTCCACTGCTGCTGGTTTTCCTCGGGCGGGCCCTCGTCCAAAATAGACTCAACATGAGGAAGTAGCATCTGGCAGATTGGCCAGGTCTCATATACACCAGATGGGAAATGTTTTGCCATGGCCAACAGAAATACCCGCTTCCACTGTTCTGTGTTATTTACTTGAGATAACCAAACTCGCGTACAAAATTGCACAAGAGAATGCATCTCACAAACGCCACCCTTTGCCGTCGTGGATACGAGCGAATAGCCACGGAGAACATCCAAGTCATCCTCGAATTTATCCTCATGGGCGTTTGCATGTCCCGACGTATCATCTCGGTAGCTGTGGAGTACGAACTCAGGGATGCCTTGTGGATTGAAAAAGCTCATGAACGAAAGCAGATCAGCCGCCGATTGTTTCTCGCGACGTATTTGTTCAAACGTCACTTGCCATGTTGCGATGACAGAGTTTGCGACGGTCTCGTCTCGTCTCAGGTCTCCCGCGTCGCTATTGAGGAGGCTTCCCTTCTTCCTATCGCTCTTGCAGAAGTCGTCTAGGTATGTCCTCACCGATATACGAGGTGCGCGACGATTGATGTATGCCGCTGCCTGGGTGATCGCGAGCGGGATGTGGTCAAGGGCACGAAGAAGGGCTGCAGCAGAGTCCTCGTCGAATTCGCCCTCCACCTTATTCCGAAATAGCTCAAGAGACTGAATGTCATCCATGGCTGAGATCCTGCAGACAGCCCTGTGGCTACCTGTCAGCTTCTCAGCGACGTCCAAGCTGCGAGAGGTGACGAAGATGGTTCCATCGCGACGCTTCGGCAAGAAGGATGCGAGCGATGATTTACCCCTCAACAAAGTAGGGTTCCCATCGGCAAGTACACAGTCGTTACCGGCTCTAGGCGTACCATAGAACAGGTTGACGTCATCGGCATTATCCAAGACCATCAGCCACGGGCCGACTTCCTCTCTCTGCAGCCAGTCACGGACCAGTCCGAGCACGTTAACATTGGGGTCGTTTCGCCACGGCAGTTGTAGTCTGTCTGCGATGCATCGATATGCCTCTTCGAACCTAGTCTCGGAACTCGCGTGTACCCAGAAGATGCTAGTTTGCGGCGATGCTTCGCGGATGTAATGGGCAAATTGAATGGCAATCTGCGATTTCCTGTGGTATGTCAGAACACTCAGCAATAAACTCGCTTAATAACGCCGTTTCATACCCGAATCCGCCCATACCGACGAGGGCCATACGACTGGCCGGGCCCGTGTACTGTTCCATCATCCACATCATGATGTCTGGTCGATTGACGAAGTCAGGGTCACGCTCGAATGGTACCATGAAAAAAGTATTGCGCGTTGTCGATGCATCATCGTCGGGTTGGATAGAGATGCGTTTGAGCCTCTGCCTGATGTCGAGGAGAAGTGTGCTGTAAAGATGCTGTGAGTGCTGGTCCAACCATCTAAATTCGTTGCTCACTTACGTTTGATCGACTTGAAGGCCCAGAGTGATTGTCTGTTCGTGACGTTCCAGCCTGGAGAGAATATCGTCAATTTCCCCGCTGTTGAATGGCCACCTGAGAGCACGAAGGCCGAAACGGTGCATCACCCGTTGGGTCTTACTCGAGTCCAGCCTGCTCTGTAGCTGGTCAAGCACCGTGCGACAGCCTCGGAGAGGGTCGACCAATTCTCGAGCCGTCTGCAGTACTTGGCCATCTGTGTCATCGAGAAGAAGCTTCTGAACTGCTCGGAATGTTGCGGCCAAGTTGTCTACTCGGCTTCGAAGGCGTGCAATGTCTGCCCTAGCATTGCTGACTGCAGTGGAGTAGTCGAGGCATAGCGCCGAGACTTTGGCGGACAGTTCGATGATTGTGATGACGCTTGCGGCTAATCCGGCAACCTCGGCCATGGGGGGAGGAGGACAAATAAACGGTGCGAGTATCAGCTTCGGGATGTATATCTCGCAGTGACGGGCTTGAGTTGAACGTCGTCGGAATGAGGGGTAGGATCCGTGAAGGCGGCACGGCGGCAAAGGTCGAGAAAAGGCTTAGCACCCTCGCCGCGCGGCTCAGTTGGCAGCAAAGGCAGAATTGTCAGCAGAGCCTGCATCCTGCGGTGATTGGCCAACGCCACGCAATAACATCGTAGAGCTCAAACGCAGCAGAAAAATGAGAGCAAGAACTGGTTATACGTCAAAATTTGTATCGTAAAGTTGCTAGCGATTACAAAAGGTTGAGAGATAGAGCTGACGAATCGGCTGAAAGGTTCCAGCAACGAGAATCTTAGTGAGCGTTGCCATAAGTGCCAATCTACTTGCTACATACATATCGCTATTTCCTACCTTACGAGACCTCGGCATGTCCATTCAAGTTTACTCCCATATCACGAACGGCTTTCTCGTGAAGTCGGCCGCATATAAAGGCAGGGAAAGGGTAAGTGGGACCCATCGACTTTCCTCGTGTTAAACGGGACAATATCTCGACCATGGGAGAGTTGACGGCTACCGCACAGACTGGATCGTACACTTGATGCACCCAGGTTTCGCATATGAGTGGTTTTCTCTGTCCTTGAAACAAAGACCCAGGATTATCAACCTATAAGCCTTTAGAAACCGTAAATCGCATTCCGTACAACACCTTGATCAACGTTCACACCACACAAGAGAACAATGCTGGTTTTGCCGGCTAGATTATGTGCAACCTTATTGAAACCGGCCAGAGCGAGAGGCGGAGCCTTCGACAATCAAGGAAGGATCAAAGCCGTGGATCTCATAATTGCGTTATACGATAAACGGGAGACAGTGAGGCGGAAACACATCCAACAGAAAGCTCGACCCGCTCTGCCTATTAAGGTTATATCACCTGAAGTGGAATACCCTTCAACTCCTGACTGTTTCCCTCTTCTCATAGAAGTGACACAGTGCCCGGACTACTTTAGCGATGAACGGCTTTCACTGGAAGAGCGGACGTTTCTGTACTATAGTCTCACGGTTCGAAATGATCACTTTCATGAATGTCACTTGCCGGGGCGGGAGCGCGTCGAGGATCGTGGAGAACTAATTAGGTGCGAACACCCTAGATGCAAGGACGAGAAGTTCAAGCATTTAGACCATTTTCGGAGCCACGTTCAAAGGATTCATGGGGTCATGCTCCGATCGTCAGAGCAAGTCAGGTGCAGACGATTGCGTAAAGCTAGGCGCAACCAAATTGTAAAGGGTGGATGATCGAAGAGCAGGGACAATAGTTCTTTATTGGGACTTCTCTTTGCTTGGTTATGGGTCGAATCAATCTTTAGAAGTAGACGTGAGCATATATCAGTTAGAAAGAATAAGTTAGCAGCAAAAAAGTCGTCTGGCGAGCCAAGAGATTGCGAATTGAATTCCCATGTGGAAGCGCACTTTACCAATATATGAACGTCTGGGAATAGGTCACATAGGCATCCTCTTGTATATAGAATTCTGATGTATTGAACGTTCTCCATGTCCCATTCAAGGGTAAGGAAATAGTCATAGTAGCTCTTGATATTCTATGTATCTGTTGAGAAAAGGTCTGTCTTTTATAGAGAGGAAAATGAAGGTCTGTAAGGCTCTAAGGTTGCTGCCGAGCAGGCAGCCTAGCCACTAAGCAGGCAGCTTTCGCTAGCTTATGACCCGTTTGACACTCCAGATCTCTTCTAGGCGCAACTTATGCTCCTAGCCAGAATCTGTCTCTGTAGCTTGGTTTGTCTATCATATTGCATGACTAACTTCCCGCATAAGCTTTCATCCTAGGCGGGAATGCTAATTCTAAATGTTTATTATCCGGAATTCTCTGTCCAATGTGCAAGCCTTTCTCCTTCCTCACCCTACGTTTGTTTTCTTGTGGAATGATGAGCTTGTTTGCAAAGGTCTATAGAAGATTTATTGAGGCGTTTTTTCGAAGAAGTGGTTGTTTACCATGCTATAATATTCTCGCACTCCTCTAAGACGTTGTTAGGCTTACCAGCATGCCCTACACATAAGAAGAAAGACATATTGAATAGCCGGCTTGCATTATGGTAAAGGGAATACCAGAAAGCTCATCATCTAAGCTGTGTTGTTCGGATGTAGCTTGATGTGGCGCAGAAAAATGTGGTGAAGCCACATGTGATTCGAGCTTGGGAAAGGAAGGTGCGGAAGAAAGAACCTTTCCTTTTGTTCCTCAAGGCAAACTTGAAGAGCGCTTGTCTATCAGGTGTATGAGTGACAGCTAGTGTGGCGTTGTCCCTTAAAAGGCACATCTGTGGCGCAAACCGTGGCGCACGGGTTGTGGCGCAGACGATCGATCGAAGGAGGGCGCGGAAGAAAGAACCTTTTCGTTCCTCAAAGGCAAAAAAATCTATGACGCACGAGTTGTGACGTGGTCCCTTAAGCTCATATGTGGCGCAAACCGTGGCGCACGGGTTGTGGCGCAGACGGTTGAAGGAAGGAGGGGGGAAGGAAGAGCCTTTCGTTCCTCAAGGCACTAAGGTTCACATCCCTGGCCCGCTGCGGACTGTGTCACATATCGTGTAGCATGCTCCCGTTCCATAGCTACCTGGAATTATCTATATGACCCGGACATCTGCTTATCGCTGCTATTATATTATTCCCGGAGCTGGGCCTCTGGCTAAGTTGTAAATATAAAGCTTATATAATACTTGGATGTAGGTTAAATTTCACTTGTAAACTACTGGGTTTATAAACCCCTGCTATATCTGTATCTAGTTTTAATACTGTCCTGGGCTTATATATTGCTGGCTATATATATAGTACTTGCTGTTCTATATATAAGTACTGTATATATATATATATATATAGACTGCGTACGCTGAGTTGCGTATAAGGCCTACTGTGTATACAGAGTTATATAAGGAACAGACCGCTGTAGATATAAAGTTGTATATGAGAATTACTGTATGTACAGAGTTATATACTAGTATTACAGTAAGCCTCTTGCTAGCGTCTATAAAGTATACTCAGTCCGACTACTAATCCGGCTGACTAATTACAGGTAATCTATATATCTGAACAGAGGGTACCTCTGCTCAGCGTATAGTTTTCCATATTATACTATATACTAGGAGCGCCCGGGTAACTGTTATACAGGATACTTCCTTATCGAAATGCTCCCTAATAAAGGATATTATCTCGCGTTGTACAGTGCTAGCTTCTTTAGTTAAGTTATTACAGATTATATCTAATATTACTGGGATGATTATAGGTTCGGGACCGGTATAATTCGGTAGCTTAGTCATCCTTCTAAACCGTATATAGGTCGATCGGGTTCTATGGGAAGTACGCTCAGTGTAAAGATATAGTATTAATATTATTTTGATTCGAATATCCTCGATCTAGTATAGGAGGGAGCTATTTATACTGGGCTTTGGTGAGTTAAGGAGCTGCAGCAGGGGATACAGACTTTACAATAGGAATGAAGCGAAGGCTTTAATTCTGTATTATTCTCTAGAAACATATACAGCTAGCGGCTTCTTAAGAAAAGAAAATAATATAAGTATAGGATAGATACTGTATATAGAACCTGAAATAACCTTTAAAGTAGCCTTTGCTAAAAAAGAGCAGCTGATTAAGTAATTAATATACTGAGTTTGCGTAATATCAGTATACTGGCAGAATATAGATCCGAGACTCTTTATAGCCCGCCCTTTAATAACCCTGTATCTCGGCCTATATTTATAGTCTACCTTTACCTATTTCCTATTCCTTCGAAGCTCTAGATTACTCTACTATAGAATACCCTATTTATAATTATAAGTTCAGAATAGAAGGGAGCCTTAAGTAATACTATTAAGATAGTTATCTGAAGATATATTATCTATAATATAAGTATCTTTTCACGAACTGCAAATCTCTCCAACAGTATATCTCCTTATTATTAAACTATTACAGATATAAATATTATCCTTATAAACCTGATTTTATATTATCTACAGTACTAGAGAAGTATTAAGAAAACTCTTATAAGCTTTATAAACCTTACAATAGGTCCTTTAATACTCTAGAAAGCCTCGAACAATATAATATAGCTATATATAATCTCTGTAAGGACTATAGTAATTTTTTTTAATACTAAAAATAATCTCTAAAATATTTATAACCCTATAAACACTAGGGTTTATAGATTATATATTAACTTCTATACAGTATCAGAGGATATATACTATAAAACTTATTCTATACCCAGGATACTTAAGAAGCTTTAATAAGGAGTTAGTAATAGTATTATACCTTAAGGCTGGATTATACTCATCTAGTACAACCGCCGATATTATTAATAATCTTACCCACCAGTATTATCAGTCTAGCTACTATATTTCGAATAATAAGGAATATAACTTCAGCTATCCTGATTATAAAACCCTTTTTATCTGAATAAGTAGGCTTCTACAGTATATAGAAAGTAATACTTACGAGGTTAGTCTTAGTAAGGACTTACCGTTAGGCAAGTTTATACATTTCCTACAGCTCCGTATTTAATCTTAAAAGATTTACTACAAGTATACTAGAGTAGTTACAGTTAAGTACGATCTTTCAGTATCAAAGGTTATAGTAATATATAACCACAAGCTAGATATATATCCAGCCTATATATAAGGATAAGGAATAAAATCCTGAGGAAGATAGTTAGACAGGTAATAGTATATTATTTTACAGCAAGTCCTATATTCATTAGTCTATAGAGCTTAAAAATACCTCTAGAATAGAATTAATCTAATTACTATCTATATTTCTCTGCTAGTATACAATAGCCTTAGTATAGTTCTGCTAGAATATCAATAAGCTTTTACTATTCAACAGTATCTCGCTTTATGCAGCTACCTGTATTCTACCTGAAATAATGTCTGTAGAGTAATACCGTACTACTCCTATATATAACTTCTAAAGTAGTCTAAATATTTAAAGTCAATATCTCTACACTTTAGGTACTCACACTTAATCGCTTACCCCTATTTCTCAGCTCGCTCCCGTCTAGCTAGATAATAGTTATCGAAATAATCATTCATAACGGTCGGACGGCAATATATAAAGGTGCGCTCCTCACGAGAGAGTCGCTCATCACCGATACAATCAGGATACTGCGCAGCACCTAGGAGAAGGGGGAATGGATCGGGACTAGGCGCAACTTCGCCGTACACCCCAGGCGACTCAGCTTTGATAGGAGGTTCGGGGCTGGCCCTTAGCTGATGTCCACAGAAGCTAGCAGGCGAATGTAGATAGGTAGTTGATGTAAGAGATGGATGTGCGGGCTAAATAACGGGGAGCCGAAGAAAGTTCCAGCATGACGCTTCTCGCTCAGGATCTCGTTGCGCTCGGTGGGAAGCCTCCCTCACATTTGCGTCAGACGATAGTGTGAGTGGAACAGTAGTGGGCTTTGTGAGGTTCTCATCATAGATGATGACGGTTGGGTGAAGCTTGAGTTGATTCGTGGCATCGCCAGCCCTTAATTTGTTGTCTGTGTAGCGCAAACGTTCAGAGCGCCCAACAAGGTCTCTGCCACTGTACGTCGTGGGTATGCATATATGAGGGATTCTGTCTCGTAAGCCGACAGATTGGGCCAGAGCATAAGCAAATTCGCCGCCCACACTGATGACACAGTCGGAGCTAGTAACAGATGCGACGGCTGAGAGTTTATCCGTGACAACCTGAGAATCCATGCAGCGGATTAAGGATTGGATCCGATTTGAGAGGCTCAAACAGGAGGAATTAGACACAATGAGAGGGGCTGACAAGTGTAGCCTGGCCAGCACGGCGCGTAAGCGGCTGATAGCATTCTGTCCGATAATAACATCTGGGGATGAACCTCGGGATCGCTTACGCGGTCGGGGTCGGGTCCTGGTAACAGCTCCCCGGGCCCGAGCCGTGTCTACCGAGGGGGATACAATGGCCTTGATGCTAATAGTATCCGGGTCGGGAATTAGTAGAGGCGATGGCGGTATTTTATTAGTGCTCGAGCGGGTCATGACTGCTGGAAAGGACGGGCTTTATTGGGCTGGATGGAAGATTTAAGTCAAAGGCGGCTGAAAATGTCTTGATGCTTAGGCTCTGCAGATGCACGGACGGTTAAGAAAGCAGATACTTAAATAGGTGAGCCTCGTCATAGTCTTATACCTGATTATTCTCTACGGCTAAAGCAACGGTAGAGAGAGCCTCGGAGCATAATGTCCGTGCTAATCCTGCCCAAAGCAATAAGCTACGCGACGGCCTAGAAAGAGAGGGGAACCCCTGGATCCACCAAGACCCTGGAAATGACGTTATAGGAGGGAGACTCGAGCACCTGACGTCATTTTCGGAAGTGGGTCCTCCCTGTAAATTTTGCTGATCGGCGTGACTTGGACGGGGTTTCCCTGCGGAATTGAAGCCAGCGGGAGTTGCTGCTGGATTTTTCAATTCCAGCTATATCTGTCTTTTTCCCTATCTATTTCCCCTCATATTTCCCTTAGGCATAGTGCAGAGGAGGGCCTAACATGAGTGGGCTTTGGTCAAGCGCATGGCTACTCTTATTTTACACAGAGGGTGGAAAATCTTTGGGTTCCTGTCTTTCCCCACTTAAAACACGACTGCTATTGGATTGTCACTACTGGAAACAAAGACGTAGAGAATGATCAGCACAACTATTACTGCTCATGAACGCCATTGACGCTCCGCGCAGGATAAGCCTGCGCCAAGTACGTCAGCATGAAACAATGGATTAGGACCTCCCTCCTCGCTCGAGATACATCCTCTTCTTGGTCAATTCTGATTTTCGCCTTATCCTCTGTTCCCGGGAAGTTAATTTTTGCCTCTACCGGCATTGAGATTTGAGGCTCTTTCGCTTTTCGCGTTCCTCACAGCTGCAGTATAAAATGGTGGATCCAAGACTGGCAATACCGTTGCATGACTTCTTGAATAAGCCCCAAAAACCTACGTTTGCAATATCTCCTTCGATTTGGGACCAACAGCTTAACACCTCTATCCCATTGTTAGGCGATCAAATTGATCTTGACAACTCGACCGAGGCTAAAGACGACGGCGATGTTGAAATGATCGGCTTGTGTAGCTCTCATGCCGCAGGCATAAAAACATCTTCCCGTGCATTAAGCAACTCCTCGATCCCATCCCTTACTTCCTCTAGTTTGTCACAGTCGTCTCATCAAACGAAAAAGCAAGCTCGCAAGCCAAAGATCAAAAAGCGGCAGCAGCAACTAAATCAAGACCTAGTCAGGGACGTATCACGTACCAAACGCAAGCAATATCTTGAACGGAATCGGATAGCTGTATCTAAATATCGCCAGAAGAAGAAGGATTGGACGCATGAGCTTGAAGAGACCAACAGGTTATTGCAGTCAAAGCATTAAAATCTGCAGCACGAATATAACACACTATCAGAGGCAATCCTCCAAATGAAGAACCTCTTAATGGCTTACTGGAGTTATTATGATTATAATATCGATCAATAGATCAATGATGAGGCTAGAAAGTTTGTACAACAGCCGACGGGTGGCTCTATTAATGGGCTGGGAGATCATACCTTTAGATATAATCCCTCTGGAATTCTTTCCTTGTTAGTACCCAATAATCATTATCAAACTCCGAATTGTAAGTATATTATTATGTCTCTTACCTCCAGTATCTATTGACGGTATTAACATTAACCTCTTTCCTTAAGCTTTAATTTCTTTTTTTCCTTCTAATTCTATACCCTGTACAGCTATTACAATAGATACTCTGAATCCACTAATTAATACCACCCTATCTACTGACATAAATGATAATAGTCTCCCCTGCGACGTTTGTATCCTACCCACCCAGACAACCAACAATCTCCAGTTGAACCAGGGAATTTGGCCGCAGGAGCCAAGCCCCCGTAACCCATCAGTAGAGCAAGCCAATATAAATATACTTCAGGAAGGGCCCAAGCCGACTGTATCAAAGATACAGAGGAAGGATCTAGGCAAAGATGAAGAGATTAACGAGTATTAGAGTAACCGCAGTCGAATAAACGAGGCTGTTTATAAGGCTGGCAGGTTGGAAGAGTGATTACAGGGCTGGAATAAGTACCAGATAGGTGCCGTTCAAACAATATCAACAAACCCCTCACGGCAAATAGTAGTCAAACCCTCTGAGAAGATAAAGGATATCATGCTATAGACCGTGAGGAGCGGTCAGTGATACCGCATCCTTCCAGTTAACAGGCTCCGCGACGTTTCACATACGTAACGTCCTACAATAGGAATGATCGTTAGGAGGCTATAGCCAGCCATTATCGTATCAAATGAAATTTCGTCATTCATTCATTCGTCCTCTCGGGTGCGGAATTCTCCTGCAGCTCCTTTAACCGTATCTCGTACCCTGGTCCATAGACCGGGGAACATCTCTGGCGACCCAGGAAGACTCTTGAGCTCGCCCTTTGCACGAATGCGGCGGAGTTCGATATGCTTGCTTAGCAGCGTCGACCACAGCCCGGTCCGCATGCGCTGCGGCCTGACGCGGTCCACTACCTGACAACCTGGTCGTCTGGATGTCTTCTGACAATGGTCAGCAGGGACCCTCTTCAAGTCAATGGGAATTCATGAAGAAACTGAACGTAACGTGCTGAAATGAATGAAAGCAAATAAAGATATCCGTCGCACGTGATACCCTTTACGCGTGTCAAGCCTTGCCAACCGACCCTGATCACGTGAGTGCATGACTTGTCGCATATTGTGCACATTCCAGGAGTGTAGGGCGCTCTAAGTCGTTAGAGTATGAGGAAGTGCAGAACCTTTTAATGCATAGCATCAAAAGTGCCGTCACAGAATGATGATAAGTTCCGGCTGTTTCAAAGACGGCTTTTATCACATGCGTTGATGACTTGCGCCACAATCCAGGATGGTGATGAAGGTCTGGATTGGGCTTTCTTCAACCTAGGTCTCCTTTATTCCGACCAAGGCAAGATGCAAGAGGCCGAGGAAATGTACTTGCGGGCGCTTCGAGGGAAGGAGAAGGCGTGGGGACCAGACCACACATCGACATTAGACACGGTCAACAACCTAGGTCTCCTTTACTCCGTCCAAGGCAAGAGGCAAGAGGCTGAGGAAATGTACCTGCGGGCGCTTCGAGGGTACGAGAAGGCCATAGGGCCCCAAGATATTGCGAGATACCGACCAGCAATTAATACAATGTGGGGTTTGGGGGCTTTCCTATGGCGTCAGGACAAGCCAGTCGAGGCGGGGGAATATTATCACCGGGCTCACAGCAATCTTGAGGTACTATTGGGGCCCCAACATATGACGTTCAGGCACTGCGCAATGTCTTACTTGAATCAGAATATCCAGGGTGAGTCAATATCAAGAAGCTAGGGCACTGTATGCTTTCTAATTAATGAGTACAGAAACAACAGCACCATGGCAAGCCCAAAGGAACAGACGCCGAGATGTCTTGAAAAGAGCCCTACGCACAATATTACCTGTAAACAGACACTTGAAGAAATAGAAGACATGGATGTGGGTTATCTCTATCTATTATGTTGGCCCTTCCAATGAATTCCGGATGGCATGAAAAAACCATATTCTGTTATAAATGAAAAGAAGCTATTCGTTTACTAGCCTATTGTAGATAGCGTATTATATATACCTGACCTCGGCTTTGAACAATGCGCCGCTATATGTTCACGGACTAACTAAATTCCGAAGATTTAGTCAGCTTATTCTCCACGTGACCCCGTGTTGTGCCACATTGTGACCATGCGATAACGATGAGCGCGCGACTCAGCTCAGGTTCCAGATATCCTGGGTCTAAAGTCAGCAAGAATCTAGAGACAACTAGTATATATAAAGAGCTATAAGAAAAGCCAAAGGCCCTATATATACAATACATTACAATCAGCCTTAGCTACTAAGTAGGGAGAAAGGAAAAATTCCAGTAACTTTATTCAGCCAGCTCGCGGTATAGAGTATACATATATTACGGCTTTAACCTCTTTAGTATAATATATAATGATCTAGATATCCTCTTATATAGTAGCTATTAATTAAGATATTGTAATTAGTTTAATTTCTTTATTTCCTATACTAATTCAAACAGTTACCGCCCTTAGCTATATACCGCTATCTCGCCTTCTTTTGCTGCTTTTATTACACTTGCTCTGATAACTGCAGACTAATACTATAGGCTGCCTGTATATAGTTTCAGAAGTAGTTAAGATATATAAACTTAAGGTCTCAATACTTAGGATATTTATACTATATCTTCTTACTACTCCGCTCAGCTTACTTATACCTGGCTAGATACTGATTATTAAAATAATTATTTATAATAATCGGATAGTAATATATAAAGATATACTCTTTATAAGAGAATTACTTATTACTAATATAATCAGGATACTATATAGTACCTAGGAGAAGGGGGAATAGATTAGAACTAGATATAACTTTACTATATACCCTGGGTAACTTAACTTTAATAGATAGTTCAGGGCTAATCCTTATCTAGATATAATCTTATTTAACTATCTCTCTCTTATTATAAAGTACTACTATTAAATTAATAGCTTTAATTCTATACTAAAGAATCTAATCTTTATTCAGATTATTAGACTAGTAGTAGAGAATCTCTACTAGCTGAGCCTATATTAATATAATAATATTAATAATTAGCTCTATATATTTCTCTTTCTCTTCCTCCTATATTTATATATTAATATTCTAAATAGACTAGTAATAAAAATAATATTTATAGTATATTTTAATAATTTCCTTTTAATACTATATATACTTTAAGTAGATTTTATTTATAAGCTTATAGATTTTCTTCTTATACTAATAGCTCTTAATCTAATAGTTTCTCTATCTAAGTATAGTATATTATTATTTAAGTTTTTAGATATTTAAATTTAGTACTAAGTCTATTTATATTTCCTTAGATACTATATTAGAAATTACTTAAGAGTTATATATAAAGCTAATATATATAAATAGCTAGAATAGCTAAATTTCTTTCTCTTTCTTAAGGAAAGTATTCTAAATATTAAAATTAGTAATCTTATTAAAATAAGTATAGTAGAATATTATAAACTAAGGATTATAATATATTATTTAATTATAAATAGTATTTAGTATATTTTCTAGAATAATAAGTTTAATTAGTACTATCTCTAAGCTCTAGCTATCTATTCTAAATAGGTAATAAATATAATATATATTATTAGCTATATTAGTAATATTCCTTTAAGTAAATCTAAATATTTATCTTTTCTTATACTCTAAATTAAAACTCTATTAGCTAATATTATCTCTTAGCTTTAAATATAATATAGTATTAGTATAAGAGAGTATAGTACTATAGTACTAATAGAATATAAGAGTTTTTAATTTAGAAGCTTTCTATTAGAGTAGAGTATATTTCTTAAACTATAATAATTTTAATCTAAAGATACTCTTTATATCTATTAAGCTTATTATATTAAAAATATTATTATATAGAGTAAGGATAATAATAGTAGAAATAGTATAGAAGAGAATCTTTCTAGTAGAGATAAAGTAGAAGATTATCCTAATAAAGCTATTAGTAATATATAAAGCTTAACTATTTAGATTAAAGAATAGAAGAATATATAATTTAGATTTCTTATTAGTTCTTTTATAATAAATAAACTTAATAGCTATAGTAGGTATATACTATCTAGTAATTAGATATTATATAATTAGTATCTAAATATCTTTATAGTAGAGAGCTTTTAGATATTTATACTCTATAGTTTTTTAAAAAAAAAAAAACTTTTAAATTTAAAGTTTTTATTTAGAAAAAAGCTATTATTTTTATTAATATTATTAGTATTAGAAGGAAATAACTAAATAAATTAGTTTCTAAAGAGCTTTTCTATAAATCTATCTTTAGATTTCTTTTACTTACTATCTATAAGCTTAGTAAGTTATATTCTAATATAGTATAGTAGCTAATAATAGCTAGCTAAATAGATATAGTACTACTTATCTAGGAAAATATTTATATTATATATAATATTAAATATTAAAATAATATATAGATTATCTATATTAAAAACTAGCTTATTATTAATATTAGATATTTAGTAGTAAAAATAAGGAGCTAAGATATAATAATAATACTAGCTATCTATTAGTAGAGCCTATATAGTACTTAGAATAGTAACTAGCTATATCTATATAATTAAAAGGAGTTTATCTATTTTATATACTTTCTTAGTATTATTTTAGTCTATATACTAATTAGTAATTATTATATATAGCTATTAGAACTAATAAATATACTTTTTATTAGTACTTTATAATATAATTTTAAATCTTTTATAGATATATAGAAAGAAATCTTATATTATTTTAAGCTTAAGATTCTAAATAATTATCTTCTAGTATCTAATTTTTATATTAATATAGTAACTATATTAGCTATATTAGAAAATTAGAAGTAGATAAAATAGGTCTAATAAAGTATTTCTATATACTATAACTATTTATTAAAGATTCTATTTATATTAATTTTAGTTTTAGTAGAGTATTTAAACTTAATAAAATATACTTTATCTAATTATATATAATAAATAGTATATTATTTAACTAAGAGTATAAGCTTATTATTTATAACTTATTTCTCTACTTTATAGATAGTAAAGCCTTAAAGAAAGCTTATATATTTATACAGGCTGTTTATAGCTGCTATTAAGAGTATAGTAGTTAAGTTTACTACTATTTAGTTAAGATAGTAGATAGCTAAAAGATAAAGATAGCTATATATAGGAGGAAGGAAAGAAGGAAGAGATATAGAGTATTATTAGTATATATAGAGCTAAAGCAGTCTGCTACTACTAATATTTATAAGGAGGGATAGGCCTATTAAAGAGTTAGAGAGATAAGAAATAGAATATAGATTTAATATCTATTTTAAATATCTATTTTAGTTAGGGAGAGTAAATAGATAAATAATACTAGTACCTCTGAGATATACTTTATATATACTATTTATTAAAGTAGGGGTTTACTAGATACTAATAATAAGTATAGAGTATCTTTCTCTTAATCTAAATCTCAGTTATCCCTATACTATAAGTACTAGCTAAAATAGTAGTAAAAACTACTAGATTTAGTAATACTAGTAGTACTTTCTCTATTTAATAAGTAAAACTAATAAAAAAAAAATTTAATTTTATATTTCTTATTTTAAATTTTAAAAATATATTAAAAAGTTTCTATAAAATAATTAAAACTTATTATAATATTAATAATTTATTAATTTTTTTATTTATTAAAATATTTCTTTATAATAAATTTAAACTAATTAAATATTATTTCTTTAAATTATAAATAAATATATATAATTTATTTTTTATTATTATTAAAAGTAATAAGAAAATATTTAAAATATATTTAAAATTAAATTATAAATTTCTAAAGTTTATTTTAAATTCTATTAAATATTTTAAATAATTATTCTAATTTTTTTTTTAAATTATAATTTAAATCTAGATTTAAAAATTAATATTCTAAATAATTTATTATTTTAAAAACTTAATAATAATAATTATCTTTTACTATATAATTATAAGATATTTCTAAAGCTAAAGAATTTATATTTATAGAAATTTAATTTTAATATTATTTTTATTTTTATTATTATTATTATTATTATTATTATTTTTATTATTATTATTATTTTTATTATTATTTAAAATAAATAGATTATTAATAATAGAATTCTATTATTAAGCTAGAGAAATTATAATAATTATAATATTTTCTTTATTATTATATAATAATTAAAATAAAATAATTAACTAAATAAAAGTTATTAATATATAATAATCAAAAAATTTATATTAAATTAAATTTAAAGTAAATTAAAATTAAATTAATTAGAATATTATTCTAAATAGTATAATTAGATTATTATATTTAGATAAATAAAGATTTTACTTATAGCTTAGATACTATTATAAAGAGCTAATTAAAATTAAAAATAAACCTAGTAAATAATTTTATAGATTTAAATTAATTTAGAACTAATATTATATTAAAAGTAAACTAATAGTATAAGGTATTTATTAATAGAAATTAATAAGAAATAATATAATCTAGAATTAAATATTTATTATCCTTAGAGAGATCTTTTTAATATTCTTTTAAACTAGAAATATATTAAATCTAGAATAATTCTAGAAAAAAAGTATATTAAAAAGAACTTTAAGAGGAAAATATATAAATAAATTACTAAACTAATATCTAATAAAATAGCTTAATAAATATAGTAAATTATTATATTTTTCTTTAGAATAAAACTAATATATAAATATATAGAAATAAGTATAGAGATATTAATTATAAAAGCTATAAAGAATATATAAATAATAATTATTAAAACTATTTATAAAATAATAAAAATTATATTCTAAAATATATAAGGAAATTT